AACTTTGAATACATTTTTATTACAATTAGATTAGTCTAATATTTCTTTAATCTTATAAGGAAATTAATTACAAAATTGTGAATACATTCTTGAAATTGAATGGATTAAGTAATTTTTATATTATTATTATTGTTGCGGAATGGGCGAAGCGATCGTGCAAAAATTGAAATTGAAGATATTTGAGTTAAAAGAAAATCGAGTTTTGTTTTTCGCTTTTTGTCTTTTAGAATAATTTAGAGATTTTACTAGATTCTTAATAACTCGTTAAAATTGTCAAGTTTTCTTGTTTATATCGAAATCTCATAAAAGTAACTTATTTAAAAGTCGCAAATTCAAAGTGAAAAGCTACAAATTATTGGATTTTCGTTTAATTCCAAATTATGTTTTCATTTTTATATACAAATTAGTATTTAGATATGATTTTGCGTACAAATGTATCAAAATATTGCAAAATTGAATGAACTTTGAATATATTTTTATTAAATTTTGATTAGTCTAATATTTATTTAATCTTATAATGAATTACAAAATTGTGAATACATTCTTGAAATTGAATGAATTAAGTAATTTTTATATTATTATTATTGTTGCGATCGTGCAAAAATTGAAATTGAAGACATTTGAGTTGAAAGAAAATCGAGTTTTGTTTTTCGCTCTCTCGGAAAGCAAGGTGTATTTTAGAAAGTGAATATATGTGTGCGCCGCCGTCCGATGGAGAATGTGTAATGAGTTTATTGGCATTTTTTCCCCTTTTTTGTTATTTCCAATGGTTTTCGTGTAAAAAAAGAAACAAGACGCAATATTTGCAATTTTCTATTTGTTGTTCATTACAATAAACTTTGAATGTCAAGATTGAGAGATGTTCGAATTAGCATTTAGTACCGAGAAAACTGTTTATTGATTGTCTCTAATTGGTTTTTAAGAAAATTGAGAAATTTGCTTAAATTTACTAATGAGATTTTATATTTGCTTTGTGGTTTTGCTTGGATAATTTGGAAATCCCAGTGAATGAAAATGATTTGGAATTAACAAAACTAATGAAAGTTTATATGTGAATAAAATTGAGACTGTTTCATAGATTTTCGAATGAATCAAATTGAAGGATTTCGATATGATTGAAAGTGCAGTTTATCGAATGATTTGCATTGAATTAGAACTTGTGTGTGAAAATGTAATGATAAATCAATTGTAAGGTATGAACGCGTTCGAAACGTAAGGTTTAAGAGAACGAGCGAGAGAGACCTTGATACGGATTTGCATAGCTTGTTATTATTATCAGAGTGCGTTTGTGCAGTTGCATAAAATTACGTGAGAAAAGTTGGGATTTGTCGTTAGTATAAATATAGTTTCAGTGAATCGCTGTTTGTTGCGTCCTATTGATCGAACGCTTCGGAAAATCTGTATATCAACCACTTGATAATGCTAAAAATAGCTTTCGTATTATTGTAATATAATTATTATTATGTTTTTTTTTTATTCGTCTAAATTTATCCACCTAATCTAATCAATCCAACTTACTTAAGCTTTAAACCTGAAATTATATCATATCATCCAGAGTGTCTGTTTTTTTTGTTCTTGTATATATATATCTTCTAAGATTGCACTACTAAACTTGTCTTGAGAAGCACTAGGATCACTGCAGCTACTACTCCCGGATTTATGCTAACAACTAACTGACTGGGGAAAAAACTTGGAATGCGAGTCGCGACACAATTACACGCGGCGAGCAACAAAATGTAACTGTAATGTTTACGACTACTAAACTGGTGAATGAATGCTGATAGCGAAAGCAATTCCCTACCAATAATAACTGTAAAACTTTTTCGGTGTGGCGGGGAGCGTGTGTGCGAGAGAGACTCGCGTACAGTTCGTGTTACGTCGCTCGTACTTACGTACACTCTGCGTTTCGGCTCTCAACCTAATTATTTAATTAAATTCTTAAACTAACGGAGAGGAGAGACGGAGTTCGCCACACGATATATGCAATAAATAACAAATAAAGCGAAAAGAACAGAAAGAGATCCACAATTTGGCTGTACTTGCTTTCTGATTTTTTTTGTTGTTGTTTTCGTTTCTCTTTGTCTTCTTTTGCGTAATTCGTGCGATTCGGGAATTTGCCCCGAATCGGAAATTGAGCGTAGCGCCGCGATCTTAATTTATTTTTTTTGACCTATTCACATTGCGAATTAAACACTTTTCGCTGATTAATTGTATCTCTGCAGCTAAATTAATGCCAGTGTTAACTTATTTTTTTCTGTTTGTCGTAATCAATGAAAATTGAAACGTTTGCAATTATTAATAGATTTTTTTTTGTTCTATGTTCAAAGATTCCTGTTTTATGTGAATGAGAGTTGAATTGAGATTAGTTGCTCTTGTATTTTATCACCAATTCAAGTACTATTCTTAACTAACTTCAAGAGATTTGTATTGAAATTAGTTACTTTTGCTTTTTATCACCAATTCAAATAATAGTTAAGCAATTGTTGTTGCGAATAGTATTTGAATTGGTGATAAAAAGCAAAGTAACTAATTTATTACAATCTCTTGAAGATAGTTAAGCAATGTTTGTTGCTAATAGTACTTGAATTGGTGATAAAGTACAAAAGTAACTAATCTTTATACAACTCTTCTTGAAGATAGTTAAGCAATGTTTGTTGCTAATA